GGCTGGCCAACATGGTGAAACCCTGTCTCTACAAAATAACTCAAAAATTAGCCAGGCGTGGTGGTGGGCGCCTGTAGTCCCAGCTACTCAAAAGGCTGCGGCAGGAGCATAGCTTGAACCCGGGAGGCGGAGTTTGCAATGAACCGCGATCGCACCACTGCACTCCAGCCTGAATGACAGAGCAAGACTCCATTTCAAAAAAAAAAAAACAAAACAAAATTAAATGAATAAACAATAAAATAAGCACCTATATAAACAGATCTCCATAATAATAATAACAAAAAATTTTAACAAATTTAAAAGAGAATATTCTTAATCTGGTAAGAAAAGTTTACACAAAACACTCCCAGCAAATATGACTCTTGTTAACCTTTTAAAAAATCTTATCTCGGCTGGGCGCGGTGGCTCACGCCTATAATCCCAGCACTTTGGGAGGCCGACAAGGGTGGATCACCTGAGGTCAGGAGTTTGAGACCAGCCTAGCCAACATAGTGAAATCCCGCCTCTACTAAAAATACAAAAAATTAGCCACACATGGTAGCAGGTGCCTGTAATCTCAGCTACTAGGGAGGTTGAGGCAGGAGACTTGCTTGAACCCGGGAGGTGGAGGTCGCAGTGAGCCAAGATCACGCCATTGCACTCCAGCCTGAGTGACAGAGCAAGACTCTGTCTAAAAAAAAAAAAAAAAAAAAAAAAAAAAAAAGTAGCTATCAAAAATTCTATTTCTCATTTTACTGGAGGTAATAGGCCAGTGAAAATGGGTAAAAAATATAATCAAAGGTATAACAATTGAAAGAAAACTAATGAAACTTTCGTATCTAGAGATATCATTAGAAAATCCAAAAGGATCTATAGATAAAACATTAAGCTTAATAAGTTAATTTAACATGGATACTGGTAGCAAGGTCAAAATATTTTTTTTATTTGTAACATACAGTAGACCTCTCCTTATTCATGGTTTTGTTTTCCACAGTTTTAGTTAGCCATGGTCAATGGCAGCCTGAAAATATTAAATGCGCAATTCCAGAAATAAACTGTCTATAAGTTTTCAATTGTGCACCGTCCTAAGTAGTATGATGAAATTTCATGCCAGCCTACTTCATCCGGACGAGGATGCAGATCACCCCTTAATCCAGCGTATCTACACTGTATGTGCTACCCAACCATTAGTCACTTAGTAGCTGGCTCAGTTATCAGATCAGCTGTCCTGGTCTCGCAGTGCTTGTGTTCAAGTAACCCTTATTTTACTTAGTAACGGCACCAAGCACAGAAGTAGTGATGCCTGTAATTCAAATATGCCAAAGAGAAGCCATAAAGTGCTTCCTTTAAATTAAAAGGTGTAAGTTTTTGACTTAGTAAGGAAAGAAGAAAAAAAAATGCTGATGTTGCTATGATCTACAATAAAAAGGAATTATCTTCCCATAAAATTGTGATGGGAAAAAAGTAATTGTACAAATTCTACCATCACACTTCAAATTGCAAAGGTTATGATCAGAGTGTGTGGTAAGTGCTTAGTTAAGATCTTAAAAAGCCATCAAATTTGTGGGTGGAGGACATGAGCAGAAAGGGGCTCCAATTGGCAGCAATCAGGTTCAACACTATTTGTGGTTTTGGGCATCCACCCAGGGTCATCTGCCACTTTGTGTTCATTGACCTACATCTCCTCATTTCCTCCCACCACCACCTGCTTCCTGCCCCTGGTAATCAGTGTTTTATTCTCTATTTCTGTGTACTCAACGCTTTTAAGATTCCACATATAAGTGAGATTATGCAATCAATATCTGAGAAAACCTGTGTCCTGAGGAGCCTATTGGAAGTGTGCATTGTCTTTAGGCCCATCGGAGAATATGGGTCAGAAGCATCAATTAAAGTTTTGTTTTAGAAGTGTGCATATGTTGATTTTTTAATTTGAAACCAACACTGGAACTAGGGATAATCTTTCCCTGGAAGACAGGTTTCATGTCAAGTAACAATGGTACTAATGCAGAGTGGAAATACAAACTATGCCATAGCACTGAACGAGCACAGTCACAGCATAGTATGGAAATGTGAGACTCTGCTATGTGGACACTGTGGACACTGCCATGTCCGTTTCTGTACTTTTGAAACAGAAAGGAAATATGAAATACTGGATATGATATGTGGGAAAGAATGTAACTTGAAAACCTGGTTAATTTCTAGACCTTTCAAACAATCTCAATTGCTCCACTTTTCATGGAAAAGACAGTGTATAAAGTAAATTTTTCCCTCAAATATGACATTTGAAGAATTCCAAAATTTTCATTTTGTCTGGCGATTTTCTTAACTAATTTTAAATTTACAGTCATCTTCTTGCAAATGTTGCCAGAAACAAAACGGAATCACTAAGGTAAAAAAAAAAAAAAAAAAAAACCTGGCAGAGCTAGGGAAGACTATGCAGAGAGGATTCTCACACTTGTATACCTAATAAGAACAAATACCATGAAAGACTTTGCAAAAACCACAACCTTGAAAAGGCCATCACAACCTTACACGAAAAATGCCTCAAAGACACCTGCCTTGCCAGCAACTGTCTGTTTAACCTCTGACTGGTGTCACCCTTGTTACTGATATTTGTAAGCAAGGATAATTATTTCAAAACAAATATGTAATCTCTTCATTTTTTTTCTTTAAAAATTTTGCCTTCCTTTACCTCCCTGAATATGCTCATAGTTTACTATGGCATATATATTTCCATTGCAATGCTCTATTCCCAAATAAATATATTTTGCTTTTAGAGAGCCTCTTTTTCTGTTTGTTATTTAGGTAGACATTCTGCACGTATTTGGCAAAAACTTACACGCTGTTGAAACTGAAACCAAGGCCTCTTCCTCTATCTTCCTTCTCTCAGGCACAACTCAATTTCTAACGTGGTCTTTGGCAACACTAATATTCCTTTCTGGTAACATAATTTTGACTGGATTACTGTTCTCATGTTTTAGGCTTACCTTGTTTAAAAATTTGATGAGTAGCCGAGTGTGGTAGCTCATGCGTGTAATCCCAGCACTTTGGGAGGCTGAGGTGGGTGGATCACGAGATCAGGAGATCGAGACCATCCTGGCCAACATGATGAAAACACGTCTCTACTAAAAACACAAAAATTAGCCAGGCATGGTGGCAGGCACCGCAGTCCCAGCTACTCAGGAGGCTGAGGCAGGAGAATCACTTGAACCTAGGAGGCGGAGGCTGCAGTGAGCCGAGATCACGCCACTGCACTCCAGCCTGGGCAACAGAGCAAGACTCTGTCTCAAAAAAAAAAAAAAAAAAAAAAAGTTGGATGTGTGTGGGGTTAGTGTTGTGATAGCCTCTTGTGCCCTACCAACTCTTTTGGATTTTTTTTTTAAATCAGGCACATTTCAGATTTAGTTTGTATCAATTCAACTTTGGGAGTCTTGGAAGAACTCTCTCATTTTAATGGAAAATAGCTCAGGTTGTCTACCAGCTTTTCCTGAACTCTGTTTTGGGGGTTCTACCCAAAATAAAAAGCTTATAAACACAAAAACAATAATGTTCATGTCTGTGACGGCCAATGTTAAGTCTCTGCTGTTGTCTATGGCTGTTATCCAAAAAGTAGATTCAATTCTGTCATGTATTGGAGTCTGGGAATATTGTTAAGAGATACATACATTGAAATTTGGAGAGCTGCTCTGTATTTATCAATTAGGCAGTGATAATCTTGGATGAAGGCTAGTCTTATTGATGTTGTGAACCAGTTGTCCCCAGGAATAGAGAACACTACACTATTCACTTTGCATTTTCTTATCCACGTAATAGAATTAGTTAGTGGTAACCCTCTACACTTGGAATTGTTTGCCGCTACATTTCTGCATGACACATAGATCTATGCAAATACGTGACTTTTTCCCAAATGGAGAAAATCCAAAAATTCTTAAAATTTTTCATGGGCATACAAGAAGATAGGAGGTGACATTTTAAAACAAGTATCTCTGAACTTTCTTTATAAAAAAATAGCGGCCTCTTTGCTCTATTATTAATACCTCATGTGGTGTTATGAAGGCCCAAATGTAGACAGCAGTTATGAGATATTACAAGAGAAGAAGATAGCTCTGCTGCTTATAGAACCTTATCCAAAAAGTTATCTTTGACTTAGACTGGAGGTGCACATAGCATAGCTCCTAGAGTTCTGTTTATCTCATAAATATTTGTTATTCAAAACTCCATAGGCCAAGAGCTCCTGAAGAGAAGGTCATATGCTAGTAGCAATTGTCATTTTTTCCCTCAAATTTTGCTATAGTATAATTTTGTTTGAATTATAAACTTCAGTCTTTATTATATTTGATTCTGGCATTCTGGCTTGTAGTGCTATAGTACCGGCAATGTTTTAAATGCTTTACCTTTATGTAAGTGAATATCGGCACACACACATGCACACACACACACAGACATAGACACACACACACACGCACAGCCAGTTTAGAATGTGGAGTAAGGAACACCAGACAAAGAGGGCAATATAAGAAAGAGAAGACATTGAAAACATTGGGAAGGGGCAGTAACAGAGTGCCAGAGAAGATAAGGCAGCTAGGAGGGGGAAAGACTAAGTGAGGTGGATAAACCAAAAGCATCCTTCTGGGTTAAAGCGGACTAAAAGCTTAGCAATTGTTTAATATCATCATCCTATCCTATAGACGTGGGAATAAAGACTTAGGAAGGTGAAATGAAAATGCAAAATCATACGGGGGCTTTCCCAAGGAGGTATGAAGGAAGTTGAGGACAGGGAGAGCAGCTGGAAGTCAGGGGGTAAGACAAAGTCTAAAAGTCAGGGCTTGAGGGAAATAAGAGGTGAGGTAAGAGGCTCAGGGCTGTGGGAGGCACATTTTTCTCTGAAAAGCAATTTGGATGAGGAAGAGATTTGTCAGTTGAAAAGAGAAGAAGTCACTGCAGGGTACTGAGGAAAAGGTTTGCTGAAATTGGAGATCAAATACCAGCTCTGCCAGTAAGAAGTTGCATCTCCCGGTGAAATGCTGCTGCTGCCATTTCAACTGTTAGCTGTTCTCTTTCCCGGTGGTGACAGTGAACGAGGTGAGAGTCACTCTGGAAGCTCCCAACACTGATGCAGGGTTTGGATTTTAAAAAGCATGCAGCGCTTTCCTAGGTGCAATTGGACACTAAGGGTCTGGGTCTTTCTGTCTCCAGCCCTCTTCAACCATTCTGGTGTTTGGGACTACAGCGTGAAGCCTTAGGCAGTCAAATGTGTCAGACTTTCTGTGTTCTTTAGACTGTAGGTTCTTGTTTCCTAAATCATTTTCATTCCCATTCTTCTTAATTGTCTACTGCTCTCTTTATCGTCACCATCTTGCTTTTCCACTCTTCACAGCCTTCCAGGGGCCGACCTCCTTTCATGTCATCCAGACCTCATCCTTTACCAACAGTACCTGGGCACAAACTCAAGGCTCAGGCTGGTTGGATGATTTGCAGATTCACGGCTGGGATAGTGACTCAGGCACTGCCATACTCCTGAAGCCTTGGTCTAAAGGTAACTTTAGTGATAAGGAGTTTGCCGAGTTAGAGGAGATATTCCGAGTCTACATCTTTGGATTCGCTCAAGAAGTACAAGACTTTGCCGGTGATTTCCAGATACAATGTGAGTCCAGTCCACTGAACTGGGAAGATTCTCAAGGGCTCTCTTTTCTCTCTTTTTTGCAAGGCGTTGCTCTCTCTGATTCTTCTCCCTTCCTTTCTATTTTACTCAACTGCATGCACACGCTTTTCTAGAGTAGTCTCTCACTCCAGCTTCACACCTTCACACCTCATATTTTAGATTCTTGCTGCCTCTGCACTCTTCTCTTACCCTCAGACTAAGGCTGCTGGTTTGTCTTGTGTGAAACTTCTCCTCAAGGGCCCTTACTTCTCCTACCCCATGCCTGAGTGATCTAACGTGTGGCTTTCTCCCTTAATCCATCTTTTCAATCATCTCTTCCCTGCACCCTCCTTCTGCTGAGAACCTCCAGCTCACTCTTGTTTCTGAAAATGTCTAAATGTTATCATTAGTTTTTAGCTCATCATCATTTTACACCCAAGAACTTTATGCCCACCAAAATCTAAAATCCTAGGTTCTTTTCTCATGCCTTTTTTTCTTATTTGTGTTTAATAACCACAAATATTTGCTCTCTGTTTTCCTTCTACATAGACCCCTTTGAGATCCAGGGAATAGCAGGCTGTGAGCTACATTCTGGAGGTGCCATAGTAAGCTTCCTGAGGGGAGCTCTAAGAGGACTGGATTTCCTAAGTGTCAAGAATGCTTCATGTGTGCCTTCCCCAGAAGGTGGCAGCAAGGCACAGAAGGTCTGTGCACTAATCATGCAATATCAAGGTATCATGGAAACTGTGAGAATTCTCCTCTATGAAACCTGCCCCCGATATCTCTTGGGCGTCCTCAATGCAGGAAAAGCAGATCTGCAAAGACAAGGTTAGTCCTGCTGTTATTTCACTTCCCACTACCTCCTGTAAGATCAAGAGTAGGAAGATACCCAAGGATAGGAGCTTAATTAACAAGTTATTTGGTTCCCAAAGTGAATGGGGTCACTGTCCAAGCTTGTAGGTTTCTGAGTTCATAACCTCTGAACTTGAGTTATAACATGACACTTTTTCTTCCCCTTCCTGCCTTAGTGAAGCCCGAGGCCTGGCTGTCCAGTGGCCCCAGTCCTGGACCTGGCCGTCTGCAGCTTGTGTGCCATGTCTCAGGATTCTACCCAAAGCCTGTGTGGGTGATGTGGATGCAGGATGAGCAGGAGCAGCGGGGCACTCAGCTAGGGGACATCCTGCCCAATGCTAACTGGACATGGTATCTCCGAGCAACCCTGGATGTGGCAGCTGGGGAGGCAGCTGGCCTATCCTGTCGAGTGAAGCACAGCAGTTTAGAGGGCCAGGACATCGTCCTCTACTGGAGTAAGAAATAGCAGGGCCCCAGGCTGGAAATGCCAGGAAGTGATCTTCAGGCATAGAGGGAGGCACTGGGAAAGGATAGAGCTTGAGAAATGAAAGAGGCAGAGAGAAATTGATTGATTGATTTCCAGGACCCCAATCCCAACGGGAGTAAAAATAGATAATCCAAGTTATCAAAAATGTAGGAATTAAGGACCTGTAAACTGGGTAGAGGAGATCAAAGGATAGATAGATGATGGGCAGGAATATGAGAGAGGAAGTTGGAGATGACCATACATTGGAAGTAGGTGGGCAAAGGAAGGCCAAGGAATTCTGTGTATAGGATCTGAAGTGACATCCTTTTGTCCTCTCTCCTTTGCCAGGAAACCCCACCTCCACTGGCTCGATTGTTTTGGCAATAATGGTGCCTTCCTTGCTCCTCTTGCTATGCCTTGCATTGTGGTATATGAGGCGCCGGTGAGTTGTGGGTGTCGTATGTGTGTGTGTGTGTGTGTGTGTGTGTGTGTGTTTAATATGTCTCTTCTGTTCACCCTTCCACTCTTTTTTACCATTTTATCTATTTAAAAATTGTTTATCCTCAATCCTTTCACCATATCCTTTCCCCAAACTCCCATCCCTTTTATGTGGACTTAAAAAAAAAAAATTCTGTTAAAACACACATAAGATTTACCATCTGTACCATTTTTCAGTGTACAGTTCAGTGGTGTTAAGTGTATTCACATTGTTGCACAAGCCATCTTCAAAACTCTCCTGTCTTGCAAGACTGAAACTCTATTCCTAGCATACTGCAAGGTCCCATTTCCCCTCTTCTCCAGGCCCTGGTTAGGACAGTTCTACTTTCTGTCTCTATGAATTCAACTACTCTAGGTAATATAAGTGGAATTATAAAGTATTTGTCTTTTTGTGACTTATTTCATTTAGCATAATATCCTCGTTGTAGCATCTGACAGGGTTTCCTTCCTTTTTTGAAACTGAGCAATATTCCAGCATATGTGTATAACACATTTTGTTCATCCATTCATCTATCTATGGACACTTGGGTTGCTTTCACTTTTAACTTTCATGAATAATATTACTATGAACATGGGTGTACAAATATCTCTTATGTGGAGCTCTTTTGTTCTTCTGTTTTTAACAGGTCATATCAGAATATCCCATGAGCCCTCATCATGTCTGCTCCCCCATTCGCAATAAGTACCAAGAAGCCCAAGTTATCCACCCAAAAGTCAACCTTACCATATTTCAAATGATTATCAAATTTGATGAAATCAGAGTTTTCATGTATTTTAAAATAAATTAAACGTCAACAAAAAAGTACTTAAAACTGTAAATTTATTATGAGACTGTATATGATTCACCCAGATTTTACACAAGTTAAAATGTTAGAAAGAATGTGTCTCAGAATAAATGAAATATAATACATATGACTTAATGGTGACTCCCTTTGGCTTCCTATTTTAAAACTTTTCTTTTTCTGCTTCTGGTTAAATATCATCTGTCAAAGTGAAGCAAATATAATTACACCAGGATCACCGTATTTGCAGAGATGCCAAGCCTTTTTGATGCAATTTCTTCTCTGTCTCTGCCTGGATGACTTTCTAGCCCTGAAGGCTCAGCTGAGATGTTTCTTCCTCAGGAAGCCTTTTCTAGTGCTGTAATAAAAGGAACTATGCAGAGATCCACTTTACACGGTACCCACAGCGTTGGAGTTATTTTTGTTTTTCCTCGCCTTCTATTTGTAAGTTCCTTGAGGACAGTGTTCCCTATTTGTAGAACTCTGGAAAGATCTCTCAGCTGCAAATTCATTTTCTCAGTAAAAACAATCTGAGTTGCTGTAACTGCCAAGTTAAGTGTTTTCTTTCAGAGTCATCTACTTTCTTTCTTTTTTTCTCTTTATTTGATATTGTAGATCCTCCTCTTCTTACTAAAATTGTTTCCACTTAGCCAAAAAATATTATGCTTTCTTTATTTCTGTTCCAAACTCCTTTGGAGAAAACTGCCTTTGGCTTACTACAGCTATAGTCTAGCTTTACAGGGTCATAGTGAGAGATGAAGCCAGCTAGACTTCCTGGGTTGAGTGGGGACTTGGAGAACTTTCCCGTAGCTAGCAAGAGGTTTGTAAAATGCACCAATCAGCACTCTGTAAAATGGGCCAATCAGCGCTCTGTAAAATGGACCAATCAGCAAGATTCTAAAAGTAACCAATTGCAGGGAGGATTGGGAAAAGGGCATTCTGATAGGACAGAAGGACATAGGCGGGGACAAATAAGGAAATAAAAGTTGGCCACCCCAGCCAGCAGGACAACCCACTTTGGTCCCCTTCCAGGCTGTGGAATCCTTGTTCTTTTGCTCTTCACAATAAATCTTGCTACTGCTCACTCTTTGGGTCTCTGCCATCTTTTAAGAGCTGTAACACTCATCACGAAGGTCGGAAGGTCCCTGGCTCCATTCTTGAAGTCAGGGAGACCACGAACCCACCAGAAGGAACCAACTCCAGACACAACAGAAATGGTATTCTACTCATTTTTCCAGTGAGAATGAGTGAGAGAGGCAAGGTGAGTGAGGAGTAATGGTTTAGATAGACTACAATATATTCAAGGAAAAAAGAGCACTGTTTCTTCCCACAGAGTCTTTGATATCTGTGTTGTATCAATTTAGTTGTACCTTTGATTTGCATTTACCTTTATTCATTTTTTGTTTATTCCATAGTTTTCTAAAACAACCCATTTTAAAACATCTAAATTCATTTTTATTAAAACAATGAAGACCAGGGGCAATTTGAGTATGTATTTTCTGTAGAACTTAGAAAGATAGGTCAGGGCAAACCGAAGTTTTGGAGAAGCCCGGAATACTAGAAGCAATTTTCCCACCTAGAAATTTTAGGACAATGTGGCATTTGGAACTTGAGAAGTGTAGGAAATGGGTGAAAACACAGCTGTCTCCTCTACTAAGACAGCTGGTTGCTTCTCCAGAATGCATTCAACTTGACCCCATCTTGTAGCATAGCCATGCTTTTGTTGTATGCTTGACTGCACCTTAAGTACAGTCTTGGGCCCTAGTTAGTCTGTGGTTCTTGGAATATAAACTATGAACTATCTGCAGCAATAGCACTTGGCACCTTGTTAGAAAAAGCAATATTTAGCCTTCCTACCTCCCTGACCTGCTGAATCAGAAAATCTGAGAATGAGAGCCAGTGATCTGTTTTAAAGACTTCCAGTGATTCTGATGCACACTCAAGTTTAAGAACCCTTGGTCTAATCGTTTCTCTTACTGTTGACTATTGATTATTTTAGCCATTATTGACCACTATTCCACTATTGACATTTTGGCCCATTTAATTCTTTGCTGTGGAAGGCTCTTCGGTGCACTGTAGGATGTTTAGCAGCATCTGCTCACTGGATGCCAATAGTATCTCGTCAGCTGTGACAACCAAACATATCTTCAGACATTGCCAAATATCTCCTAGGCGGCAAAATTGACACCAGATGAGAACCAAGATCTAAGATAATACTCAGAATGGTATGCCCCTGCTTAACCAGAATAATTGGTTCATAGTTTATATGTGACCCGATTGGCCAAATCCAACTGAAGCCTTGGGTTAATGTTTGTTGGTTGAGGAAAGAGGAATTCTGTCTGGATGGTGTAATGTGTGCAAAGCCTAAAATTGCTGTAAAATTTTATTCCATAGAAAAACCTGGCCTAGAATTGAAGCTCACAAACAAAAAAGATAAAGGAGCAAATGAGATAACAGGGCCAAAGCCCAGATCAGACTATATCTGGAAACTAAACTACCTCTGGACAATTTAGTATATGACCCTAGTAAGTCTCATTTTTTCCTTTTAAGCCAATAGAGATTGAATTTTCAGTTGGGTTGAAAATGCTGACATTACTGTGATCTCTGATGTCTTAAACCAGCTTTTTCATATTTTTCTTATTTTTTCTCTGTTTTCTTTACTCTTATTTTTTTTCTTTCCAAATTACCAGCCCTCAACAGTGGTTTGTTTTTGTTGTTGTTTTGTGTGTGGGGTGGGGGGATTGTTGTTGTTTTGTTTTGTTTGGACGTGAGATTTTCCTCTAAGGGTCCTTACCTTGGTAAATCTTAATTTACTCGTGATTTTAACTATGACCTCTGAATGAACGACTTTCGGAAGTAGATCTTCCGCCTCAAATTATAAGGCCTTCTTGACTGTTTTTATTTATTAGAGAGTGTGTGCGTGTGTATGTGTTTGTGATATTTTGGCCAAAATATTAAAATACAGTCATTACCCCTTATCGACAGCAGACGCGTTCCAATACCCCCAGTGATGCCTAAAGCCTGCAGATAGTGCCAAACCTAATTGCCATCAGTTGGAACACATTTCTGTTTATGTTTTCCACCCGCAAATTTAATGCCTTAATTATCTTAACTAAGCACTTATCATGCATGCACTCTGTCATAGCTTTTGCAGTGTGAGGTGTAACAGCAAAATTAGCACAAATTTCTTTTTTCTTCTTCACAATTTCATGGATAGAAAATTCATTCTTACTGAAGATTTTAGCAACCTCAGCATACAATTTTTTTCTTTGCTGATTTTTCACCTTTTCACTAAAGGGAAGCACTTGACAGCTTCTCTTTCACATATCAAAATTGCTAGCATCACTGCTTCTGTACTTTGGAGCCATTAATAAGTAAAATAAGAGTTACTTGAACTGTGCTTGTAGTAACTCTACAAGCACTGTGATACTACAGCAGTCAATCTGATAACCAAACCAGCTACTAAGTGACTTAAAACCATGAGGTAAAGAATGACTTCTTTTCAACTTTTTAATTAATAATTTTATAGGAGCCAAGCGTGATGGCTCACGCCTATAATCCCAGCACTTTAGGAGGCTGAGGCAAGTGGATCACCTGAGGTCAGGAGTTTGAGACTAGCCTGACCAACATGGTGAAACCCTGTCTCTACTAAAAATACAAAAATTAGCTGGGCATGGTGGTGAGTGGCTGTAGTCCCGGCTACTTGGGAGGCTGAGGCAGGAGAATCACTTGAACCCAGGTGGAGGTTGCAGTGAGCCGAGATTGTGCCACCGCACTCCAGCCTAGGTGACAGAGCAAGACCCTGCCTCCAAAAATAATAATAATAACAATAATAGTAATAATAATAATAATTTTATAAATGCAAAGATAAAGCAGTATAAAAATCACCCTTTGCTCATTAGACAGTTTTGAAAAAATTATCAACTTGTGATTAAAATAAATTTCAGATATTGTATCATTTCCTCCTTAACTATTTCAACATGTCTTTCTGTAACACATAGACTTTTTTAACATATAGCCAAAATTACATTATGACATCCCCAAATAAAAGATTTCTTAATATCATTAAATATATAGTTGGTCAGCAAATTTTTTCCAACTGTCTCATGAATTGTTTTTTACAGTTTATTCTTTAAATTGGAATAAAAATAAGATTCATGCATCAAAATTAGTTGATACGTTTCATAAATCTTTTTTAATCTGTAGGTTTCTTCTCTCATTTTTATCCTAGAATTTTTTTTTAAGAAATTTCATCATTCTTGTAAAATCATCCACAGTCTGGATTTTGCTGATGACATAGCTATAATGTCATTTAACATGCTCCTTTGTTCTCTTTATTTACTATATATAAATAGATTTGTGATGTGATCAGATTCAGGTTTTATTATACTATGTATATCTCATAAGAGGCATATAATGCTTGATGGTCTTCATTCATTACTAGATTAATAGGTCTCAACTCTTACACATTTTACACATGTAGAAGTTATTGAGGGTGCCACAATAGTGTGAGTGTACTTAATAACACAGAATTGTACACTTAAAAATGGCAAAGATGGTAAATCTTATGTATGTGTATTTTACCACAATAAAAAAAGATTGAGATCACCAGAAAAACTTTTCTTTGTGTGATGGAGAGTGTGTGTGTGTGTGTGTGTATATAAAATGTATGTCCAGACAGATAGCTAGATATATCTTAGAAGTAAAAACTAATAAACTAATAATTAAAATATGTATAAACTTCTCTACAATTAAACATGGATTACATATCAACAAAAATTATATCTTTACTTTTAAAAGTTTTTCAAAAATGTAGTGAGAAGCGTGGTTTTACAGCTGCATCTATTTATTTATTTAGTATTTTGG